CATTCATACAATCATCATCAAAGAAAAATGGTGTTTCCTTAACCAAGAGATTAGTAAGAGGCTTAGCAATTTTTGAGAAGTCCTTAATAAATCTCCTATAAAAACCAGCATGTCCAAGAAAACCCCTAATTTCTTTAATTGATTTAGAAGGAGCAAGCTTTTCAATTATCTCAACTTTAGCTCTATCAACTTCAATACCCTTAGAGGATACTTTATGACCTAGCACTATACCTTCCCTAACCGTAAAATGGCATTTTTCCCAATTCAATACTAGGTTAGTTTCCTCACATCTTTTAAGCACCCTAGACAGATTATGTAAGCATCCATCAAATGAAGAGCCAAAAACTGAAAAATCATCCATAAAAATTTCCATGAACTCATCAACAAATTCAGCAAATAAAGCCATCACACATCTTTGGAACATACCTGGAGCGTTGCACAAACCAAAAGGCATTCGTCTAAAAGCAAAAGTACCATATGGGCAAGTAAATGTTGTTTTCTCTTAATCCTCAGGAGCAATAGGAATTTGATGATAACCAGAATAACCATCCAAAAAACAATAATATTCATGTCCAGCAAGTTTCTCAATCATTTGATCAATAAATGGCAATGGATAATGGTCTTTTCTAGTAACTTCATTAAGTTTCCTATAATCTATGCATACTCTCCACCCTGTTATTATTCTATTGGGAATTAATTCATCATTTTCATTTTTTACCACAGTTGTCCCACCCTTTTTAGGCACTACTTGCACAGGACTCACCCAAGAACTATCAGAGATAGGAAAAATAATACCTGCATCCAACCATTTGATCACCTCTTTTTTTACCACCTCTTGCATGTTAGGATTAAGGCGTCTTTGAGGCTGAACAATCGGCTTGTGCCCCTCCTCCAGCAGAATTTTATGCATGCAAACCGAAGGGCTAACTCCTTTGATATCCGCTATACTCCATCCTATAGCTCCTTTATATTCTCGCAACACCCTTAAGAGTTTTTCCTCCTCTATTCCTGTCAAAGAAGCATAAATTATAACATGTAAGGTATTTGAATCACCCAAATAAACATACTTTAATTGAGAAGGAAGAGGTTTTAATTCAAGAGTAGGGGGCTCCTCTTTGGATGGCTTGACTGTCACAGTGGACGGTGCATCTAAGGGCAGAAAATTCCCTCCTTTTTGTGGCTGCCTATGGCATTTTTCCCCAAGAATAGCTGCTGCCTCCAAAATGTTATTGTCTGCATTATCAACTTTCATATCCAAAGCATTAACAATGCAATTATCAATAGGATCATCTAATCTAGAAGCATTAAAATTTTCAGCCACTACAGTGTCTACCACATCAATCCTTAAAACAGCACTACCATCA